GTCCGGAGTCCGGCTGGGGGATAATTATGGAGCAGCCTGATCCTGCCACAGATTCCCCAGGCAGCACAGGTAGGGTCAGCTCATGGGGACATAGGGTGGTTGAGTTCCAAAGTTTGCCCAGAGTTTGGCTCTTGCCACAGAGTCTTTCACTTCCCTTTTAGAGTATGACTGCCAGCTGTGGGTTTAATGGGATGATTGGTTTCCTAAATTGCATGGAGAGTCTTGTATGAGAAGTATGACTTGGGGATGAGGGGAGACTACAGGCATCTCAGTCACTAGCAGGGTCATTTTCTGTCTCCACAAAGGGAAGCATGCAGGCAGGGAGGCAGATGCATGTATCTCCTAGGCTGAGATGGAGCAGACCAGGCTGAGATTTATTTCTTCCTCCACACCCCCCTTCCTTTCACCCCCTCTTGCCCTTGACTAGGCAGTCCTGGCACTGTGCTGTAGGTACCTACCTTCTTAAGGGGTATTTGGCATAACCACCATTTCTGCAAACCCCACAGTTTTCCCACAATATTCCCACTCCTACATGCTGGAGAGAGCAAGTGATGGACCATGAGCCTGAGGGCCCAAGGCTAGACTATGACAGATTCCATGGCTAGTCCTCTTGGCTGCCCTCTTTGGTCAGAGTCCTTTGGAGATCAGGATCCAAACTGCTGCTTTAGTACTTTCTCAGCCCATGGAAGATGAACAGTGTTCTTTAAGACTATTTCCAGTCTTCCTGACTGGTGGGAAATGTGGGTGGGGAAAGATGGGAGGAGACATTAGGGCTTTAGGTCCATTTGGGAAGTCTGACATCTATCTAGTACTGGTAGTTCTCTCTGCTTGGTGTGTTTCCTCTCTGAATCTTAATGTGGAAGCCCCTCAGCTTTCTCTTCTAGAAAGGTAGGTAAACTCTGGGACCCTGAAGCACAAGCCTACAGCTCTCCTTGAATGATAGGTTTGCCAGCATTTGAGCAAGTCTGGGCTGCTTCTTAACACTAGTACTTCCAGGATCCCATCTGGGCTGTGGCCCTGGCAGAATTGACAATAATAAGAGTGATAATAATAGTGGTCAGCAGTTCTATGCCACTGACCTATACCAAGAAAAGATCTTGAAATGGACAAGACCATAGAGTCTTTCTTTATCTCACCCCCCCCCACACACACACACACTACACACACACACACACACACACACACACACACACATGCACACAAGAATAGGATTTCTGAACATCCGGACCAGCCCTTTCTTCCCTTGTTCATGCTTGTCCCACCCTTGGCTTGGGGCAGTCAAGGGTATGGCACACTCCAGCAATCACAGGATGTCTGTGTTTCTGTCCAGGTTAGAGCTGCTGTCACAGCCCCTGCGCCTCCTCCGGATGGTGCTGGGGTTTCCTGCCTAAGCCCAAAGCTGTTGAATGGGTCTGTCGGTGCCACTGGCCCCCTGGATCCACCAGCCATGAATCTGTGTTGGAATGAAATCAAAAAGAAGTCTCACAACCTCCGGTAAGGCCTGACCCCTAGAAGCCTTAGAAAGCCAGCTGGGACAGTGTTGGGCTCCTTTTGCTGCCACAGCTCATCATCCTGTGTGTCCCTTTTCCTTAGCCATACTACCCGCTGCCCTTTTCTTGCCTTTTCTAGCATTGGGGAAAGAAGCCTGGGTTAGAAGTCGAGAGATTTGGATTTGAGCCTCAGTTTTAAGTAGCTGTGTCACCCTGGATATGTTGAGTTTTCAGAATTTTAGCTTCTACTTGTTTTGTTTTTAAGAATTAAAAAAAAAGAAAAAAAGAATGGGGGAATAACACTGAACTACCTCGCAGCGTTGTCATGAGGATTCAGATAAGCTGTGAAAATGCTTTCTAAACTTAAAAGTGCTGATGTGTAAATGAAGGAAATCATGACTCCCTCCTCCTCTCATATCTGCCTCCATTTTGACAGGGCTCATCTGTTTGCTTCCCATCCTTGCATGCTCTCTGCTCCCATCCTTGGGTTATTAGCCAAGGGGCTCCTAAGGGTAACTCCAAGAAGAGCCTGTAGGCAATTTCTGTGTCTGGTATTCTCTTTCCCCTACCCCTCTGTATATACCTGCCAATTTTTCTCTCCATTCCATATTCAAAGCCCAAACTCCTGGCTTCTGGTGGGCTCGGTAAGGGTGAGGCAGTGTGGAGATTGAAAGAATGCAGGCCCTGGAGTCAAATAAGTCTAGGTTCAAATCATAGCTCTACTGGTGACTTAACTGTGTGACATTGGGCAAACTATGTAACCTCTGGGCAATAGTTGTACCTACGCCATAAGGTAGTTGTGAGAATTAACTAAAACAATAATTTAGGTAAAGAGCTTGACCCAGGTGGCAGGGGAGCAATGAATAAAGACAGTTATTATTGTCAGCTAATGGAAACAGGCTTGATGGCTACACACAGCCTTGACTGGCCTCCAGCTTCCTATCACTTGGACTTCAGCTATTGGTTCATTTCAGGGCTGAGGGGAAGCAAACAGAGATGATTATATGGTACAAATGTTTCTATTTCCAGATCTTAAACTTCTAGCCAGTATTTCTGTTGGGTCTCTCGGGCTGCTTATATTTACGTGCATCCTTGCACATGTGTCTGCTCACTCTCAACCATCCAACTTACCCGTTTCATTTATTGCTCAGAGGGCAGGCTTGGACTGAGCAGTTTGGTGTGACTTGAACTCTACCAGGGCAGCAGAGGAATCAGACAGCTGTCATCCCTAATGCCCTTGTTCAGTTTCCTACCCTTCTCAGTTTGACGCTGAGCATGTAACTGAAGTTACTGAGGTCCACCAAGTGCCAATTTAAGCCATTTGAGTTTGGGATACCTCCTCACCCATGGTTCTACCCATTTGTTTTAGTATTGTGCTCCATGTGGAGGTGCCTCAAGAGCCTCTGCAGGTGGGTGAGAGGAAGGGCTTTGGGCCTCTTCCTACTTCGACCAGAACGGTTCCTCTTGAATTCATTTTATATATTAATGGTCCACTTAAATGTTTGTTTGGAAAAAATGTTTCACCACCTAGAAGGAAGATTGAACATCACTGGTTTTACCCATTGTGTGCAGCGCTCGCCTAGAGGCCTTCTCAGATCAAAGTGGAAAGCTTCAGCTTCCTCTCCAAGAGATTATTGACTGGCTCAGCCAAAAGGATGAGGAGTTGTCAGCCCAGCTGCCCCTACAAGGGGATGTGGCCCTGGTGCAACAGGAGAAGGAGACACATGCGGTAGGTTAGAATCACAAAGGCTGGGGTGTGTATTAATAGCTTCTCGATCGGGAAGGAATCCCATTTGCAATACCCTGACAGAAAGGCACCCAGCTCTGCTTAAAAGCTGTATGCATCCTATTGGTCTGCGGCTAGCATGTCACAGACTAAGTCAGGTCTTTCCTCCTTATTTCTCTCACCTAATATTGGCTTCCCTTCAAATCCTGCCTTGATTGTTAATGAGGGCATGAGGAAATGAACATAATACAATGTTTAGTGAAAAAACATAGGATACAAAACTATATACAGGTGGATCTCAATTGTATAAAAATGTACATACATGTCTGTGGATATATACAAACAAACCAGGTGTCTTCAAAAAGTGAATGAAAATGTATATTATGAAAAATTTCATCCCCAGGGGAGATGGCCATGCCACAATCCCTTCTTCTCCATTCTCCTCTCGGGATCTTGGGCACACACACACACACACACCTGGCATGAGTTTAAGCCATTGGATCTAGGACTCGGACTGCGGTCGGCTACATGGGAGTCCAGCAACATAGCCATTACACTAACTGCTGGTCCCAAAAAATCATTGTATTTTAATATAAATCTGCCCATCCTTGTTCTGACTTCTTTAAGCCCCTTAAAGGGCTTGTCTGAGTGTTACAGAGGAACAAGATCTTCATATTTCTCTCTTTTTTTTTTTGAGAGGTTTTTGCCATAGGGCGCATGTGCTCGCCAGACAAACAGAGAGAGACAGAGAGACAGAAAGCAAGAAATCACCCCCCAGAGGGGATGGTCACGCCGCAATCCCTTCTCCTCCATTCTCCTCTCGGGATCTTGGGCACGCACGCACACGCACCTGGCGTGAGTTTTAAGCCACCGGATCCGGGATCTGAACCGCGGTCAACTATGTGGGAGTCCAGCGACATAGCCATTACGCTAACTGCTGGTCCCAAGATCTTCATATTTCTCTTAATCTTGTGGCATAGACAGACCTAATTCATACTAAATAGACCCATAGTGAGGATTGCACCTCTTTGTGTCTGGGTAGCCCAGAGATATATGATAATGCCAAAGAATCAGATTGTACCGAGAAGAAAAGTTGTCAGTGCAGGATGGAATTTAAAGTGACTAAGAAACTTTTCTTCTTGATCATATTGCTAAACTTCACAGGCCTTTATGGAAGAAGTCAAGTCTCGGGGGCCCTACATCTACTCCGTGCTGGAGTCAGCTCAAGCCTTCCTGTCGCAGCACCCATTTGAGGAATTAGAGGAACCTCATTCTGACAGCAAAGGTGGGTAGCCTTCCACTCTCTCCCCTACTTTTTGAGTTATGTACCTCTAACAGATATCTTCCTGCTCTCCCCAAACTAATTTTCTCAGTTGCTATCTAGGAGGAGAGTTTTCTTTTAGGAGTCTGTCCAAAGTTGGGGAGGAGTAAGATTCATACTGCAGGAGAAAGAAAAGAACAGAGCCTAGAACAGGAGTAACCAGCATGTGGCCCAAAGATATATGTGGCTCTCTGAAGCATCAAATGTAGCCCTTTTTAAATTTTTTATTTTTACCATAGGATGCATATACTCACTGGAGAGAGACAGTGACAGAGGAAGAGAGAGGGAAAGTGAGAAAGCACCTCCCACCCTCCCAGAGGGGGTAGCTATGCTTCAGGCTCTTCTCCATTCTCCTCTCAGGATTTTGGGCACACAGACACATGCACCCAGCATGTTTTTCAAGCCTCTGGGTCCAGGACTGGAACCATACTGTTGGCCACGTGGGATCTAACCACCTTAACCTCCATACCACCTGCTGGCTCCACATGTGACCTTTCAATAAGGTATGAAAAACAAAGAAACAAAACATTCGAATGAATTGAACTGACTCAGTAAATAATAGTATTGGGTTGTCAGAAAAGTCATGATGCTTTATTTATTTATTTATTTTTTTGAGAGGTTTTTGCTATAGGGCGTGTGCACTTGCCAGAAAGACAGAGACAGAGAGACAGAAAGCAAGAAATCACACCCCAGGGGGATGGCCACACCACAATCCTGTCTCCTCCATTCTCCTCTTTGGATCGTGGGCATGCACATACATATACCCGGCGTGAGTTCAAGCCACCAGGTCCAGGACTCGAACCACGGTCGACTACATGGGAGTACAGTGACATAGCCATTACGCCAACTGCTGGTCCCCATGATGCATTTTTGCATAGGGAAAAAACATGGAAAAATACATCATGACTTTTCCTACAACCCACTAGCAGTATGTTCTTTAAAAACATGCTGCTTTAGGCCTAGCCACAGTGGTGTAGCAGTAGTACAATGCTCTGCAATGCTAGAAGTCATATGGTAGAACAGGATTCAGTTCCCAGGCTGACTTGTATATGTCAGGCATATGCATACCCATGATCCTGGCTGGCTGGGAAAGGCTGGAGGGATGGTGGTATGAGACCCTACTGAGGATACCCTCCTCAAGAAGTAAACTCATTGGGAACCAGCAGTTAGCGTAATGGCTATGTCGCTGGACTTCCACGTAGTCGACTGTGGTTCGCGTCCCGGACCCGGTGGCTTAAAACTCACGCCAGGTACGTGTGCGTGCATGCCCAAGATCCCGAGAGGACAATGGAGGAGAAGGGATTGCGGCGTGACCATCCCCCCGGGGGGCGATTTCTCACTTTCTGTCTCTATGTCTCTCTCTATCTGTCTGGTGAGTGCACGCGCCCTATAGCGAAAAAAACCTCTCAAAAAAAAAAAAAAAGAAGTAAACTCATACACTTAAAAAAAAATAGAGAAACTTACTGCATTATTTCAACATAGAGAGACATATGACCATGTTCAAATCAACCAGTAAATAAAAACCTTTCTAAATTCCAAAATTTTGTGCCTGTCTCGTAGTCTAGTGGTTAAGGGAGCCAGATCCCAAATAGTTCACCTCACAGTTTGAATCCCAGACCTGATGACTTAAAAAAAAAAATACCAAGTGTGTACATGCCCAAAATCCTGATAAGAAGAAGAAATGGAGACATAGGGATTGCTGTGTGATTATACCTTATCGGAGGATGCATTTCCCCTCTCCTTCTCTCTATCTCTCTGACAAGTATGCAATGTCTTCTGGCAATTTTTTAATAGAATTATTTTTCTCCCTGTCTCTCTCTGATGAGCACACACATCCTCTGACAAAAAAAAATCATAAAGAAAAAATTTCTTAGAAGTTAGATGGTGACTTTTGAGAAGAAAATTGATTGTGATTCTTTAATACTGACTCTGGTGAGTTCCAGGCCCTTTCCTTGATAAAGAGGGCCGCTCTTTATCAAGAGATAGATTCAAATAAGGCAGAAGTATGGGACCCATGGTGATTAGTTTTGAGTGGTTGCCCAGCAAGCTCTCTTCTCCAGATAAAATCCTCTATGTTCTGAGAGGGACTGTAAGTAGTGTGGAAGGACTCTTCATTAATGGAGCCCTTTGTCAACTCTATTTACCTTCTCTATCTATTTTAGCCCCTCAATAGGAAGGCTAGTTTTAATTTTCTGCCCAATGGGTCTCAGATAGGACAAGCTCAAGAGAGAGCAGGACAATTCCAATTAGCCTGAATCTTTGGGGCTCTGGATCTTCTTCTGAGGGGTAAGTCTAAGGGCAGAAGAGGAAACCTACAAATTAGGAGTCTAAATGGAAAAGCTGGGCATGTCATGCCAACCTTCTTTGCGCTAGGCCTTCATAAAATATCTCCCTTCTTTGGATAGAAATGGGCAGCAGACATTAATATGAAATCACATTCTGGGGTCATATGAATAGGACTCTGGATGATTTGCCTCACTGTAGCTTGAAAATATTTCATTCACTATTTACTTCGCCCCTTAAAAAACATAAGGAAATCTTTACAATATAGTAAGTGGAAAAAAGCAATATAGTCTCTTGACTGTAGTAGTAGATACATAAACCAACATGTATGTTAAAATTTCATAAAAGTGAACATGCATGTGCATACACATACCATAATGAATACAGGTATAACTGGGAAACCTTGGACAAAATTGATGACTCGTATTAATGTCAAAATCCTGATTGTGATATTATGCTATCATTTTGCAAGATGTTACCTCTTGGGGAAACTGGGAAAAAGGTATATGAGATTTCTGTATTGTTTCTTAAAATTGCTTATGAATCTATAATGGTTTCGAAATAAACAGCTTCAATTAAAAACAAACAAACAACAACAAAAAAAAACAAAAAACAGGCCAGCCAGCATAAGGTGACTGGATCCATATTGCTTACTGAATGGTTCAAGTCCTGAACCAAGTGACCTGAGAAACACACATGTGCATGTCCAAAATACCAAAAGGAAACATGGAGAAGGGATTGTAATGTGACAGTGCCCCATGGTGGAGGTGCTTTCTCACATTCCTTCTTTCTCTCTGTCTCTCTCTCTCTGGTGAGTGCATGTAACCGCTAGGGAAAATAATTTAATTAAAAAAAAACATGAATATGCAAAAGGAGCCCAACCATGGAAAGATATGTATTTGTGTATGAATATACACACAAACATGCTCATGTACGTATGTACACACACATACATGAACATTTTACAAAGACCTGAACTTGTCTCTGTTTTTCTTTGGGCTGCCCCTGCTTGGTTAGCCTGACCTGACTTCCTGCCTGCCCTTGTAGACACCTCTCCTAGACAGCGGATCCAGAATCTTAGCCGCTTTGTGTGGAAACAAGCGACAGTGGCCAGTGAACTATGGGAGAAGCTTACAAGCCCGCTTTGTGCACCCGCCCCGCCATATTGAGCGTACTCTGGAACAGCTGTTGGAGATCCAAGGGGCAATGGAAGAATTAAGCACGACTCTGACTCAAGCTGAGGGAGTCCGAGCCACTTGGGAACCCATTGGGGATCTCTTCATTGATTCACTCCCAGAACACATCCAGGCTATTAAGGTATGCAGGCTCCCCTCCCCTGACTAGAGTCCACCCTGGGACGGGATGCTCTCCCCAGACTCTGACAATGTTCCTGCTGCTGAGACACCATTATTGGCCTGGACTACAATTGAGCTTCTCAATTGTGCTGGATTTGGGGCTGATTTGGCTAGAGTTTCTTCTGTTTTTCTATCATCTTCTCTTTC